AAAATTGAGAAGAGAATTGGAAGGAACTATGAATAATCAATTGCATCACCCTTTCAATTTCTCATATTGAATGATGAATTAAATCATATTAAGAATCATGAGTAGTGGGGATATGAAAAGTGGATGAACATGATGATGGACATTCATTATTTCATAACAATTAGCAAGTAATTACCTTAATTTAACAACTAAATAACTTAATTAACATCGATTAATTAAACTAACACCTAATTAAATGTTTTAAATAAATAAATAATTTAATTAATAACTAATTAACTTAATTTAACAAATAAATAACTTAATTAATACCTACTTAATTAAACTAACACCTAATTAATTTTTTTGATAATTAATTAATTTAATTAACAACTAACAAATTAACCCTAACAAGAAAATAAATCTAACTAACTAACAATTAACAAAAAAAAATAATAATAATTAAACAATAATATCTATAAGTAATGAAATCAAATGCAAGAAAAAAAATTCAAAGGCAAAAATAAAAAAATAAATCCAGCTTTATGTATTGAAATCAAAGGCAAAAAACTAAGAACTTACAATAATTGAGTTGTGATGCCGACCACAAATGGATGAGGAGAGAAGGGAGGAGCAACTACCAACACTAGTTGACCCACGAGAGAAGAGGAGGGAAGGGAGGAGGAGAGGGAAAAGAAAGAAAGAAGAAGAAAATGGAGAAGGAAAAGGGAAGGGATAGAGGGTAAGAAAAGAAAAGAAGAGAAAAAAAAGAGTTTGGATGGTTTAACGACATTAATGGAGGTTTTTAAGGGGATGTTGGCACTCACAAAGAAGAAAAAGAGAGAATAGAAGAAGAAAAATGGAAAAAAAGAGAGGTGGAATCCAATTTAGGAATTTTGCATTTAGTGACGGTTTTCATCACTAAATGTAAAATCTCACTTTTTGGGAAAAAAATTCGACTTTCCCTCCGGATGTAATTTTTAGTGACAAGTCTTATAAGATCGTTGCTAAAACATCGAAAAATGGTATATTAGCGACAGCTTTTCAAAAACCATCGCTAAAAACCTCCCATTTTGTAAGGATTCTTACGACAATCCGCTTAAGCCATCTTTACAAAACTCGTCCAAATTTTTAGGAGAGTTTAGTGAGTGTCTAACTAAACCATTGCTAAATGCTCCCAAGAATTTAGATGGTTTTGTAGCAACAGCTTAAGGAGATCATCATTAGAATCCCCAAAAGTATCCATTGGATTTTTTGGGGAATTTAGTAAAGACTCGTTTAAATAGTTGCCAAAGTTCCACAAAATGGTTTTTTAGCAATGATTTACTTAAAAACCATCACTAAAAACATAAAAAATGGGTGGAATCTATGACGGTCTAATCAAACTATCACTAAATCCCTTAAATGAATTCGTTGGGATTTTTGAAAACATTTAGCGATGATCTATTTGAACCATCACAAAATTCATCCAAAAAGGTCTAGTAGCGACAATTTAACTAAATCGTCATTAAAATAAATAAAGAATGGATGGAATCTGCAATCGTCCGACCGGACCATCGCTAGATCCCCCAAATGTATCCGTTGGGGGTTTTTTTTGAGAATTTAACAATGATCCTATGAACTCGTCGCTAAATTCACTCAAAACGATTTTAGTAACGGTTTTTAAAAAACCATCACCGATTCCTCCAAATAATATGTTTTTAGTGAGAGTATTAGAGAAACTATTCGCTAAAAACTCTTAATTTTGAAGGGATCTAGTGATGATATGATTAAACCTTCGCTAAAAACCTAATAAATCATTTTTTAGCGAGGGTTTGTTGAAAACCATTGCTAACTAGGGTCCAATTTACATTTTTTTTTTTTGAATTTGTGAGTTCAAGGTGATAGTTTTCCAAACCATCATTAAATACTAACAACGTCAACAAAATTAGCTATGATTTACCGAGATCGTTACTAAATCTTATTATTTACCAATAGTTTTCTAAAACATCGCTAATTAATGGTCGCTATTTCTATATTTTCTTGTAGTGCTTAATGTTCTGTTTTGTTTTGTTTTGTTTTAATGCTAGTCCTGTATAACCAATCTAACATAATTTAATTAGGAATCTATCAATCACACAACAGAAAAAATTCTTTATTTATAGGGAAACGTTGTCTTCTTCTTACGTGTATACATTCAATAAGTTCAGACCAATACAATTATATTCGTTCATGATATGATATCTCATAAAAACAATTAAAAAACCTTAAAACACTTAAAATCTAAATCCACATAAATTTGTTCTGGTTGTATATTTAATGATATATTTTAAAGATTTTAAAAGATACAAAAACCTAGCTAGTGGATATTGCTATCGTAATTGACGTGGAAATGCACTTCCCTAACCTTTTGGACTTATTTGCCATATTTAAGCTACAAACCACATCATTTTTACTCACTCTTGTGTCTTATTCCACACTAATAATTAATCTTTTCATTAATTTTTCCGTCTACCAATAATAACAATACAAAAAATAAAAAATAAAAAATAAAAAATAAAAACTTTTTCGAGTGGCCACGTTTACTAACCCAATCAGGTAATTAGCAAGGTGAACAGAAAGTATTGTCAAAGATACTTGGCCTGATGACACAAGAAAATGTTGTTATTAAGGACCCACTTGGTGACCATTTCAGCTAATATTTGAAGAAGACCAATGATGACGAAGTCAGTCAGCTTATTCATTTCCATGTTTGGACTTTGAATGTTTCTACAGCACCCACTCTTAGCTTTTTCTACTATACTTTTACCAATGGCGACTGACCAATCCTTCTAGGAGGTCAGTTTTCATCACTACAACATATTCTTGTTTCAGGGAAGAATACAAAATGAATCGATATGATGACCATATATGAGACTGTTAATTAATGTTAATTAAGAAAAAAAAAAAAAACTTGTGCATATATTTGTATGAAGTGTTTCTTTGGACTTGGAATCCTGCTGTTAAAAATTGCTGTGTGCATGGTAACTGTATAGTGAACTGATAGTGCAGAATAGAAGTAACTCATTTCCTACAATATTTTCCAAGATTTATTTATTTATTTATTGTCATTCACCGCACCATGCAGGTCCCAATTAATAGTTAAACGGTTAAAGAGTTAGCACTGGTGATTAGTAGTTAGCGAAACAAGAGAGTCGTATTACTGCTATTCTAACTGCCCTATTACATATAATAAGACCTAAGAGAATTTTAACCAATAATCTTTTTACAACTTCACTGCTACAAAACTAAAAATATACTGGTTATATTTTCTTAATGCTAAGAGATTAACTATTAAGTACTTATATATTTTCTAAGTAACGAAAGATTGTAAGAAACCAACAAATTATTGGTATTATGATAAGCGAACTGGTTGTTAAACGAATTTTTTATCAATGTGTAAAATTTGAATATTAAAATTGCATTTATTGAGAGAGTTAAATTTTACCAATCATACTTTGAATATGATTAGTTTTATCTTTAATGTAAGATGTGAATACATAGATAAAATAATAAATAAATAAATAAAGATTGTAAGAAAGAGTTACCATCGAAAATTCTAACATTTAGCAACAGAAGCTACAACGATCGCTAAATAGCGACAAATTTAACGATGGATCTAAAAAAAAACTTTAGTAAGGACAATTTATAGATAGAATTTTAGCAACAAAAATAGGTAATTGACCACATTTTTGTGACAAATACAAGACCAAAAAAGCAACTATTTGCTATGCTTTAACAACAAAAATTCTACATAATCCATTGTTGATTAGTGACAATTTTTTTTTTTTTTTTTTTTTTTGTCATTAAGAAAATAATGATGATGACTTTTGCTATAAAAAGTTTATTGTCGTAAATCCATCGCTAAGTATCAATAGTGATGGATTTTTACTATATAGCAATTGAAAAATCCGTCTCTATTTTTAGCTTTTTTTTCAAAAAAAAAAAAAAAAAAAAAAAAATTGTAAGAAAGAGTTACCACCGAAAATTCTAACATCTATATGCAATTATATAGAATTAATTACCTTGTTATATTATGAGAAGGTTAGATATAGTTGTATGATGATTATTGTAAATCAAATCATAGGTATGTCTATTATGTGATGTGGCTGATTAATTAAGACCTAAAAAGATGATATCGATGTCACCCAACAATATTGGTCATTCTTCAGTATTGTCCAGTACATCGTTAGCTAGGGACTCAAAAGTGGTCCTCCTCAAAATAATTCTTTGCATTCCCAATTTTCAACACAAATAGACTAATACTGATAGACTTGTTCGTTGATCCAGGTCACCACTCCAATCTAGTCTCCATATGTGATTTCAAATTTGTAAGAGGCTGTTGGTGGCAATTTTCACGGTACGATTTCTATATTAAACATCAATTTTAAAATTTAAATGGGCTCCATTATTTTGTTCACAAATTATTTTTCTTTAGGGACCAAAATTTAATTTAATTTCATGCCTTGAAAATTTCAATTCTCCTCTACTTAGTTGACAGTTTCCTCAAATTCCCACATGCAAACAATAATAGAGGAAAAAACAAAAATGAGACATATAAAAAGAATGATCACTTTGGAGCTAGGCAGCTCTCGGAATATCATTTCCCTTGCCCTTAAAGCTCTTTCCAGAAGGCACCTTCAGCTTGCTTATATAGATTTGAACTTGCAATATAATCATACCATGATGAAACTAAACCTAAATATATAGGAAAATGTATCCTTTTGGCCAGAGAATATATTATATGAATCAACAAGAAAAGAAGGAGAGGTTAATTCTATGTAAAATTATCTCTCTTTACATATATATATAAAGAAGAGTAAAGACTAAGAATTAATGAAGGAAAAATCACATGCAAGAAATTTATTACATTAAATTATTTTTTGAGCAAAAGAAAAAATCTAATAAATTAGCATCCTTAATTTATACTAACACATCAATTTACATGTTGAGTCCCCATAAAAAAAAGGGCTAAACTAGAAAATACTAAAACAAAGATGATGATCTTAAACTTGTTCATCACTCTGGCAATTGCAAGAAACTGGGTTGGCCAAATATGTAGGGTTATCATCACCAGCCATAATGACAACGATCTTTGGCTCCATTTCTGCTTTCATCTCATCAACTTGTTTAACAGATTTTTCTTGAGCCTCAGGATCACTAGACGAATCGGAAGATGATTTTCTATAAGAGCAAGCTAGAATTATCAATGACATAGCAATGAGTCCTAACATTAAAGCTAGACTAGCAAAGAGGTACGGGATTGGAGAATTCCTATCTTGATAGCCTGCATGAACAGCAGGTGCACTAGAGTTGCTTGCAGGCCTCATTAATCTCTCTCCCAAGACTGTCTTCTTTTTTCTCTCTTGTAAAAATCTTAATCTCTCTCCTCTTTTTGTTAGCGCAAGATGATGAAACTGGTAATGTTCTGTATTTATAGCACCATTAGTTAATGTTCCACAGTGCATGGATGAGGGAGTTGAATTGGGAAGTTACCTCATTGCCATTGGTTTTGGCAAGAGAAGAAGTTGATATGATAATGATGCTTTCTTGGGCTCTACTAATACTTTTGGGGGACATTGATTGACATGGTGGTTTCTTGGGTGCAAGGGAGCCTAAAATACCCTTCTTCGTCAAAATAATAATAATAATAATAAAAAAAATAAAACAATTGCCTACCATGGCGGATTCCTAAATGCTTAACTCTATCAAATTAGCCAGAGATGATATGATTTTTGAATATTCATTGGGGTTGCGGTTAAACATAAAATCATTTTATAACGTACCCTTTCTAATAAATTTTTGTGTTTTTCCTCAAGTCGAATTCTATTTACTTTTGTTGTCTTAGATATTTGTTTTGAGTAATGGTCCACATTGTGAATTCTTTTTCATGAATCAAACATAAAATAAATTCTCATACAGTTTAACATAATAACATTCGTATCGTTGTATTTTATTTATGAAAAACGAATCATGATATTTATCATTTCTCTATCTCTCTCTGGTGGTTTTTTAAGATTTGCAAAGATAGAATTTGGTATAATATCCACGAATTTAGTAATTAAGTAGGTTGTGGTTCTATAAGAGTTAATTGTAGTATACTAATGTAATAATTTGTGGATATTTGTGTAAATTTGGTGATAAGAAATTCAAGTTGCATGGATTAAGCAACCAACGGCAGAAGAATGAATGTGAATTTGTCCCAAAGCTGGCCTTTACTTATCCAAGTAGTAATATGGGCCCACTAAACGTGTTTGTTAGGCCCACTAAACGTGTCCTTAGGTACGCCTTAATTTTCTCTGTCTTCCATTACTGGAAAAATAATATATAATAATAAGCAAAACTCTTCCATTTCCTTGATCTCAATTGGAATGAGTTGTAATTTCTTGCTTTCTCCATTGAAAAATACGAATAAAGCTCGAAAGATTCCTGTTATTATACAACAGGAGTAACATGCTTTTGAGAAGACACAATAACACGGTATTTTAGAATGAAAAATGTTTCATGACTTGGTTTTTTCTTTTTTTTTTTCATTAGAATAATAATACTTACAAAAATTTGGGCTTCATGTAAGGAAGTCCACGCTTTTTTCTTATTTCGTCACTTATCATCTCAAATTTGAGCTTAAACATTAAAAAAAAAAAAAAGAATTTTCTTCAAAAATCCAAATACGAGTACAAAATTTGACAATGGTTTATTGAATGAATAATTTTCAAAATTAACCGCTAAAACTATTTTTATGTAATACCATAATTCTTCGATCTATCATTATATATTTAATTAAGACAACATTATCATTAAAATATATTAGGTTTTTATAATTAATATATATATTTTAGGAATGTTTTCAAGTTAAACCATAAAAATGAATCAAATGATTTATACATGATTAGTATGTTATTCTTAAAATAGCCTCATAACTAGAATGAGTTCTAATTAGATCATTATATAAGATTTTAAAATATATATTCATTATATTTTGTATATTTGATTGACAGATATATACAGTTTGAATGATGATCAATGGTAATATTTTGAATTATAAGAACAAAAAATCATTAATTGAGAAAAGAAAATGATGCGATTATACATTGCATTGTATTGTAAACTTAGTGCATAAATCTTATGATTCATCTAAATAACCAATAATGTCATTTTGAGTATCTATAATTTATTATTTATTCTCTCTGAAAAGGAAAAGCTTACTTTGGTTCGTTTCCTATAGCATTCTTTACCATATGCCATCATGAAAGAGAAGTCTAATTGCTAGTGTGTGGACAACGAGGGAAGCACAAAATTTGCCCCTTCATACTAAAATGATATAGTACATTTTCCTTTCCAATTTGAAAAAATATGAAAGAGATATTTAACCACAAACATTTATGCTGATCCATAAATGCATCGTACAATCTATTAAATTGAAAGCCTATCTTGTTTCCAAAAATAAATATTATTGTTATCGTTTTCAGATTATTATAATCATAAATTAAAGAGATCAAAAAGTAAGAATCATGTCAAATAATTTGGTCTTAAAGTAGTACTAGTAATCAACATAATCTTATTTCTCAAAAAAAAAAAAAAAAAAAAAGGTCATCGGTTCTTCAAACATTTAAAAGGCCACGAACCAAACAACATTATGGGCCGTACATTGGACAATATAATTATGCAAAGCTAGTTAACTTTAGGCCCATTTCACCTCAGGCCTAATTTGATCTTTTTCCTGCTCAAAAAAGTACTTACAGGACAAAGAGTTCCATTGACAAAGGCTTTTATTAACATTAACAGAATCCATGAAGATGATTCCAATTCATTGCTTTTTTCCACAAATTTGGATTTGGGTATCTCTCCAATTCTGTTTTGGTCGGCACTGCCCACTTGTACTCTTACCTTTTCTTTCGTTTTGCTTAAATTTCATAAACCGTTGCTTTTCTGTGTGATGATATGTTATGGTTTTGAGTTTGTTTAATTTGATTGAATTTTTTTATGATTCTAAGTTAAAACCACGTCACTTTTTTCGATAATCAAATGTTTCTTTGTATGGGGTCTTTTCCTGTTCTGCTTCTTGCAGGAAAGGCAGAACACGGTGAGGTTAGAAATGACTAAATTTAGTTGGATTTTTTTTTTTTAAATCAAAACTATGATTATCTTTTGATTTTTAGTTCATTCATTTTTTACTTCTTTTTATTAATGTAATGGGCTGAAAATGAGAAATTAAAATCGCATTTTGTTTAGACAAACAACTAGTTTTTGACTCGTGCTTAGTTACGACGTTTATGCAAGCGAGTAGGTAGTTGGTGAGAATGAAATAGCATTTTTTATTTTTTTTATTTTGTATAATGTGATTTGATTTTTGGGAATTTTTTTTTGGCATATATTTATACATATAATGTTTTGATTTATTAAATGCATTGTTGAATAGTAGGGTCTTTTTTCCGTGAAAACAAGCTAAAATTGTGGTTTTTTTTTATAAGGATTAAAAGGGAGTGTCAAATTGATGGTTTTGGTCATTTATTTTGATTAGTCAATAGGTTAGTTGATAACTAATGGAAATGTAAGTGAACTATCTAGTGAAATTTGTACACTATGATGTTGATGATTCTCATCGTAGATATCAACTATTATAAAATGACGATCTAGTATTGTTCGAAAGTATTCATTGCATTGAATGTAAATAGTTTTTGTTTATTTAGGGTATTCAGCAATGGTGTTAGGAAGCATGTGCTCGGAGTTCATCCATAACTTAGAACGATTTGTTAGCGACCGCTTTGGAAGTATGTCCTTGCAGCCGATTCTTGCAAGTAGCATTTTTGTTTGCCTAAAACATTGCTTATGACATGTGTGATATGATATTTATAGATTGCATTTTGTGAAGATCATCAAGCGTCTAACCGGCCAAATGTATTTTTTTGGACGAGTTTTGAATGAGTGTTTATAAAAATATAAACGTGCGAAGCTATTGACTACAAATAAGTTAATTCATAATGCATTATAATGTACTTTTAACGATAATATTTGTTTTTTTTTAACATAAAGGTAAATTAGAGGTTTTTATGGCCAAATGATTGTAAAAATCTCGATCGAGGACCTAGATTCAAGATCTAATATTGAATTTTAGCAGTTCACCAACTTTGCTAATTATAAATAAATTTTGAAAAAATTAAAAAAAATGAGACATGGGATTGTGAATGAGGTATATACAAATGTTAAAAAATGTTAGAGACTAGTATAAATTATATTATAGGACCTCACCTATCGGCTTAAGCTTTTAGGTGAGATGGTCCTTTAACATGGTATCGAGCTTGGTTGACCTTGAGGTCCCGAGTTCAAGTCTCACCATCCTCGGTTTCTCAAATATTAAGCACAAGGAAATGTGGACTCGTGCAAGTTTCGTACCCCAAATGTTAGGCCTTTCACTTGAGGGGGTGTGTTAGAGACTAGTATAAATTATATTATAGGACCTCACCTATCGACTTAAGCTTTTAGGTGAGATGGTCCTTTAACATGCATTAAAGACAATAGAAGCAACAATTATGTAGAATTACTTTAAAGGAAAGAGTATGCATAAGAAAAGAAAGAATGCCCTTAAATTTTAGAAAGGCGATCTTGAGGGGCGAGGGTGCCAAATAGAGAATAGTTAAAAGGAATAAAATGTGTTGATACAATGAAAGAGCAAGTTACGTAGTTATTATATTTTTTTATGTATTCAACATTTCGTTTTATTTGTTTGAAAATGAAAGAGAGAAACATAATTGGATAATGAAATAAAATAAAATTTATTTATTTGTAGTATTTATTATGTATGAAATATGAGCGAGACAAAAGAGTTTGTCGAGGATTAACACGTAAGATTAAAAAGAAAAGCAAGAAAAGTTTGTTACAATCCTTTGTTTCTCAATCTTTTCATTAATTTCTTCGACATCATCACCGAAACATGTCATAACGCAAGATTTGGGCTATATTTATTTTCTATTATTTTTCTAGTAGTTTTGCTAATTTTATTCCTTTTAATTTTTTATTATTTTATTTTTCATGGTCAACTTTAGAATTTTTAAGTTTAATTTTAAGATTTAATTTTATTTTTTTGTAAGAAAAGAAAAAAACCAAAAACAAAAAAAGAAAAAAAAAGAAAGAGAAAAATACAAAAAATATGAAAAAAAAAGATAAAAAAAAATACGGGGCATAAATAATTACGGATATAATTAAATGAAATAGAGATTGAAATTGAAAACAATTAGGGATGAAATTGAATGAAATTAAAGCATAATTAAATTAAATTGGGAATGAAATTGAAAGCCAATAGGGATGAAATTGAATTGAAAACAAAGGAGTA